ATCTTCTTTACAGCAGTTATAAGTACAATTATAAATTTACCTCTTTCTCTAAAGTTACATGTCTCTTTTCTCTCTCTAATCTATCCTGTCTAATAATCAAAACCATAAATCCTAAATTCATTTTTTTTCTGTTTTCCGCGAAAAGTCCGTAAGGGATTTCTAGTCAGCAATAAACATAGATACTATCTTTTCTCTGATCAAATAAGTCAATCTGGCCATCATCTTCACCAACCATTCCTCCATTGTAGGTATTGCCGAGTCTTTCCATCTTTGTGCATACAATAATCTCACTGCAGTTATCATATAAAAAAACAAAGTTCCATTATTGAATAATGACTACAAGTTGTTTACAGGTAGTCCTTGCTTAACAACAGTTCAAAGTTATTGCAGCCTTAGGAAAAGTGCTTTAGGACCTGTACTTGCACTTACAACTGTCTCAAACTGTCGCATTGTCCCCATGGTCATGTGATTGCAATTTCAGGCACTTGGCAACTGGCTCACATTTATGACTGGTTGCAGCGTCCTGCGGTTGTGTGATTGCGATTTGCAACCTTTTTTGCCTTGAGTGATTTGAATATTTTTCTCAGAAGTTCTGTCCAGTTGTGGGGGAGATTGCCCCATTCCAATCCCCCATCAAACACCATTTTTCATAAGAGAAACCTATCAGTCTCTCCATAAGTCCTTTATAGAACAGTACTTTTTCCTCATTTGGGGCATAAATTCCCAATATCAGAGTCCAATGCAAATTATCTTCCACCCCAACAAATCTACCATGGTCATCATTCAATACAAGCTCTGGTTTTAGTTGGGGATTTATATGCAAAACAACTTGATTTATTTTTTTAGTTTCTGTTAAAATAAATTCTTCACCCAAATTTTTATAAATCAAATATTTTATGTCCTCTTTTCTAATATATGTCTCTTGTAGGCAAATTATATCTTGTTTTAATTTTTTCAAGTAATGAATTTTTTTTTCTCCTTTGAAGAGCATTTGCTCCATTTATATTCCATGTTAAGCATTTGTAATCCATAATCAAACCAAAAATTTAGAAAAGTTGATACTTGTAGCATCTAGTTCAGTATCATCCCTTTCAATTTCCTATTGCGTCTGCTGAAGGTTTTGTGTAGTCTCATCTGACACCTCCGTTTGAATCTCCTCCAATTCCTCTTTAAATTTTTCTAGGAATTCTCTCACTGGAAAGAATTCAATTGAAATCTCTGCTGTTTAAAAGTAAAAATTACACCTTCCAATTTATCCCATTGAAATGGAATCTTTTTCTGTTTTAATCTTTCAGTCAAAAAAGAATACTCTTTTCTGTCATGCAACATTCTAATAGGATTTTTTTTAAAAGAACAATTACATCTGTATTATCAATCTTCAGTCTTGTATTAAAATGGTGCTGCAAAACTTGATCTCTTGTCTTCTTCCTGACAAAGTGCACCAAGACATCCCTTGGAACATTTTTTATTCCCACAATTCTTGTATTTTTTTCTATATATTTTATTAAGTTCTGCCTCTGTATCCTCATCCCAGTCCAAAAAATTTGCTAAAGCTTTAATAACCTTTTCTTTAATATCTTCACCAGAATCCCCTGGGATTGCTCTAAATCTCAAACAAAATTCCTTCTCTCTCAGTTCCAGTAGTGCCAAATTATCTAGTTCTCTTTCCAGCTCTCTGCCCATAACTTCTGTCTCTCCAAAATTTCCACTTTGTCATTAATTTGTTTTACATCTCCAGATACTTGTTTTACCGAGCTGTTCATCTTGTTGACTTCTTTCATCTCCTCTTTCATCTTTACAAGTCTTTGGTCCATTCTTTTTTCAAAAACTGTCAGTTTAGTATCAAGTGATTTAGCTAACTTATTGCCTAATTCCGCAAACATTTTCTGAAGTTAATCTAGTTTAATTCCTCTCTCTGCAGGTTGCTCTAGGAATCCTCTCCTTCCCCCTGCTATTTTTGCTGCTTTTCTGGTGGTTGCCATTGTAATATTGTAATCCAAAAGTGAAAGTGTTTCAATTACAAAGGAAAGAGTAAAAGGCAAACTCCCCTCCCTCTTTTTTTTCAGTTTTGTCTTCCTGTGCTCTTAATACTTTCATCTCAAATGGCACTCCGTGGTTACAGTCAGCATCACAGTCTGGCTCATATTACCTTTATCTTTTGTTTTGTAAAATCCACCAATTGTCTGCACTCTTTAATAGTTAAGCTTTTTGCCAAAAGTTTTTAAATCTTTAAAAACCTTTTTTCCCCCCTTTTTAGTCCAGAAAGAGCGTTTACTCACCTAGTGGAATTCTCTTATCCTGCCTCTCAGAAAATCTCTCTTTAGCTGTAAATTAATTACAGCCAAAAGTGTTTAAGAAAGTGGGGCTTGTGTGAAGCTTGTGTCCATATAGGCTGCATCAGGGCTGTGAGCTTGATTGAAATCCCTCAACTCCCAGCTGCTCAACTCACAAGTTGACTGCAAAAACCTCAGATCCTGCAGTCTGCTCATGAGGAGCGGCTGTCCGGAGTGCAAGTGGGCGATCTCACAATCTCTCCTTTATCCGGAAAAACTGTGGTGGCCAGAATTTGCCATCTGGCTGCCAATCTCCTTGCAATGCCATCCCTGCTCCTTCAGGGATGTTTAGTCTGCAATAGATCCTCACCCAGAAGCCATAAAACATTGTGGATTTCTGTTCTGCTAAATTATGGCTTATTGGAAATGATTGACCAGGACCCCAGAACATGATAGTATTGTTCTGTGTTTGAAACAAAATGTTTTTCCCAGTTTTTATACACCCCTAGTTATAACTCCCATATTTTAAAGAAGGATTTTCAGTTGGACTGGCTGTCTTTAATGGTTTGTTAATTTTTGCAAAGTACTTTATTATACAGTGAAAATACCTTCTTATCTAAGGTTTGAAAAACAACTTATTAGAGTAGCATCAATTCCTACAAAGCCGGGGTGTTAAGGCTATCCTAGGAATAGCTGTTCTTGTCTTGATCAGTATACAGTATTAAGAACAAAGTAATTCCTGACTTCTTCTAATGTTCAGTCCTGACTAGATGTTCACAGGATGTATTTGTCTTCCAAGTAAACTTATAATTTAGAATTAAAGTAGATGTGTTCTTGAATGCAAAGGAACAAACAGCTGGGAACAGATTGAGGGATGGTTGAGGGTGAGGCAAAATGAATAATGCATTGATAATGTAGCACAATAAAAGATAAAATATTCTTACAATCAAAATAATATTTGGGGTTTTGTATGGTTATTGCACAGCTCATAATGGTTGTATATGCTGATAGGTGAATCTTCTTCTCCCTACCCACCACAGGTAGAATGCTCAGTTACCAATGGCAGCAGAATAATTGACCTTTCCCCTTTAATCCATTGGACAAGTGCTTATGACATATTTGATGAGTTTTCTGACCAGAATCCAGATTTCTATATAAATATTTGCCAACCATTAAATTCCATCAAGGATGTCAAGTGTCCACCTGGAGTAGCTGTTTGCATGGTCCCACTTAATGACTCTCCTGTAGTAAGTACTACTATCAGCATGTATCAAATTGTCCTCTTTCTCACAACAGGATGTTAGGAATGCATACTTAATAGGCTGGTTTAGTTGAGTAATTTATTACTTTAGAGCCCTGTTCTTTGGAGACTCACATTCTCCAAGCAATTGCTTGAAAAAGCAATTTCAGCATTGGATATGGTCTAAAACATTGAAAGGAGGAGGGAAGGAAATTGTCTGTTATTGCTTCACTTCCTCAGTCCCAGATGTAGGATGCATCTGCTGCCATTAAGTCATGACCCAAAGTTCAGGAAATATGTCAATTGTTTTCAAGGGATTTTTGAATTTTGAACAGTAGGTGTGCACGTATCATGGCAAATCTCTTTAAAAATTGAGAGGAAGATCTATGCTATGGCTTTGGGGCAAGTGAAGATTGTGCTACTAGAGAGTAGGATGGTACAGTAGATCTGTGCCAGCTTCAAAGATGATTCCAAAGAACTGCCTTGAATCTAATGCAACACTACCCTATTATTCATTAAAGCAGTCCAACTTCTTTCAGTACTCTATACAAACACAAAAAAGCATTTTGACTGCTTTAAGGAGCTGACTTATTTAAAACTAATATGATCTTTAAAGCAGAACCATTCAAACCAGATCAGACTGCTTTAAATGAATAGCCTCTGATCCTTGGGGATATGTTGTGCTAAATGGATAGCAGTTTCAGATAGTGGAGCATGCTGATATTGCTTGTCTTTTTAGCAGTATTAACATAAAGATTTTGAGTACATCAGAATAAAATGTAATTGAAGCCATATACGAGAGATGTCTTTACAATAAAAATGGGTAGTCTCTCCCAACTTATCCATTCATTCTGTCCCGCTGCAATGCACATTATTACTACTTGTATATAGATTGAACTAATTTATTTCCCAGTTAATGCTGAAGCTTCAGTTTCACTTTGTGGTCATTTACACTGTTTGTAAAATCAGGTTAATTTATGTTATATTTAATTAGGATATTGGTCGAATCACAGGACCTCCTAAGTTGAACAGTGCAACAAATGAAGTTAATATTGCCTTCAACAGTACCACTCCTTGTCCAGAAGATAAAAATCTCAACTATTCTTCACTTATTGTGTTTCACTGCAACAGAGGAACAAATCTGGTAATCATAGTTTATTTTGTTTGTTTACAAAAGCTTAGAAGTCTTTGCAGAAGCAGGTTGAGAAAAGGATGAAGAAATCCCTTCCAGACATGAGGCACATCCAAACTTAATTTAATTTAACTTGCCTTCCTCCAGTTTGTGAGTTGACAGAAAACATGAGACATAAATTTGCTCTGTTTGTGTAGCAAATCTCTATTCTGCCTCATTAATGAGAGTGGTGAATGATGCTGTGTTAACCTGCTGCTGCCAGGCAAGTTAATGTGCAGCAGTTGGTGGTTTTCCTAGTGTTGGAGAAGTCATCCTTCAATTGCTTTTCTGGTGGAGTGAGATTGGGACTCTAGAAGGAGGTGAGTTTTGACAGATGGCTAGAGTAGTGGGTTGACGGAAACTGATCTGTGGAGTGGGTGGGGGCTTTCTGCTCCTGCTTTACCAGGAAGCTCATACCTATCCTGTGCATCACCTGCAGTGCCAGATCCATGGGGTTGGGATAGATCAGGCATGAGGGGAGGGTTCTGGTACAGGTGGAGGGGAGAGCCCCTATCCAATCCATGTCTCATCTTGGAGAGGTGAGTACATATTCTTCTCTCCCAGACCCTCCATGTCACAAGGAGAATCTGGGAGCAGCCACTACCCACAATAGGTGATCGCATCAGCCAAAACCAGACAGTAGGAGCTGGACAGATCCCTCCCCTTCTGCATCATTATCAGCCACTAAAGGACCCACATGGCATGGGTAGCATGGCTTATGTTTGGAGAAGATTGAAAACTCTATTTCCACATTAGATCATTAAATTCCACAGTTAGCAGGCCTCAGCTTTGGTTTGGAGATGCATTATGCAGGTATGTCCTTGTAGAATGGTTAGTGAGGCATGACGTTAGAGGGAGGTTAAATGTGCTCATAGATATGCAAGGTTCTTTAACTACAAATTAAATTATTCACACATCACAAAAGTTAATCCTTCTGGTTAGTAAAGTAGAGATACTTTGCCAACAGAATCTATTATGAGAAGGAAATGTATTTAATTTGCTGCTTTTGCAAGTTATCAAGGCACTTGCTTATTCTGCTTTTTAACAGGACAGGTGGGGAAAGAATGGGTTTTGAAGGCTTATGGGGTATACAAGTTGTGTACATAACCTGATAGCAAACCCTTCTCCAGCACAGGCAAATCAATCTCTTTAATGGTATCTTAAGTTTGTGTATAAGCATGTGATCTACAAACACACACCTCAGTTCTCTCCAGAAAGTCAGCATGAAGCAACAGAAACTGGGGCCTGTACTTACTCTTTTGTTGTTGTAGGAATGTTTGAAACTTGACTACTTCCAATGTCATCAACCTCAGTCACAGCAGGCAAAGCCAAAGGAATATAAATAAAAACAGATGGGATTACTTAACTTCAGCGTACATTTAATTTTCAGTCATTTAGCTTTCTTATTGAGACATCTGATTCTCAAGCTTAACCATTTTATTCTCTTGTTTGTGTGTTGATAACAGGGGAAGCCCAAAATGATAGACAAGTCTACGTGTGAATACATATTTGAATGGAGCACCCCAGTGGTATGCCCTGATGAAGAGAATGTTTTGGGCTGCACTGTAATTGATGAACAGTTACACTATGCTTTCAACCTATCCAGCCTTTCGGGGAAGCCTTATAAGGTGATTGTATTGCTGTGACTAGTAAGGGGAACTGTGTACTTAGAATTGATACTCTCCTGACATGAAAAAGGTGGAATTGGTCTATGGCTGAGGCACATGACCATAGCTTAGCCATGAAGTTATGTTTTTAGTACCACAATTCACAGGACTATTCTGAGATAAATCAGTAAAAGGGGGCTAGGGTTGTAGCACAGTGGTGAATTTTATGTATGTTAAATTATATTGTCAATTAAAATGTCTCTCAAGGGATTGAGCTGCACTTCTCATACTTCCTCTCCAAAATATGAGCCGTTGAGAATAGTGGTTAAGGTGTTGGACTGGTATCCAACTGCAGCTTGGAGCTCATTAGCTTGGGCTAGTCATTATTGTTCAGGCCATCCTATAAAAAATTGTTGATATAAAGATGAAATATGAAGGGAGCATCCATGTGGACACCAATTTGAATTTCCTTAGGAAACTAGGATATACGTGTAATGTTGTAATAAAATGTGCTAATCATATAAAGATTTTTTCTGTAAGACATGGGCCTAAAACGTCATGCAAGAATTAGTATACTGCAGTAAAGATTCATTGATCATTAGTAGTTGAATAAATATCACCAAAGACATTCCTAGAACTGCTTCCACCTATGAGAGCATGGAGATGAAATTCTGAAAAATTGAATTATTACATAAATGTTTGCTTATTTATAATTTATGAATATTCTGGAATATGGCACTCCCATTGTTCAAAGTAATATTGAGTAACAACTGTAGTAAATTTTACAAGCACCATATTCACTTGTAAAATTTGGGTATGGGTATTTTGGAAAGTGAGCAAAGCTCACTTTGAACCCCTCTGAACCTGCTGCTTAAAGTGAACATCCTCTGGAAGGTCCATTCTGAGACCCTTCCCACATTGTCTTGCGTAGTCTGGGGAAGCCCTTGGCATAGCCATATTCAGCCTTTAAGAATATTTAGCATTTTCTCTGACTCCATTTGCAGTTCTTTAATGGTGTAGTTTTGGCTGTCAACACAGGTTTCTTCTGGACGCCAGAACTACCATCTTGGGGTGTGTTCAGAAGCGGCAGATGTGCCTCAAGGAAAATGCAAAGATGCTGCAGTATGTCTTATCTCTGGCAATAGTGCTGTCTCATTTGGCAACAAAAAAGTAATAAAATTGGACTACAGGCATCAAGATGAAGCTGTTTTCTTGCAGTATAAAGGTGGTGATAAATGTCCTCCAGGTACGGGATTCTAAGAATTGCAAGGGATTTGCCCATTATTTTGAAAGCTACACCATTGCTTGCTTAGAATCTTAGCTTATCATCTTCTAGGGTTTAAAATAAAGTAACCTTATTTTCTTAACTTATTCATCCTAAGAATAGTCCCATTGAAAAAAATTGTAGGTAACATCCAAGGCTATCCAAGCCAAATTTCCCTTTAGAATTTTCACTGAGTGATTTTGAGATTGAACTCTTTCCAGTGATGGTATACAATAACTTATATACCATTCCGGGGTATCTAAATGAATAGTTTCTGTTTTAATTTTAACAAGTGGAAAGAAGGAAGGAGGAAGTGGTTCATAATGCAGGGTGTCTTCATGCATGCTTAAATAACATGCATCTTGAAGATTTATCCCATAAAAGTTGTAAGATGGTGTTTTTAGATGTGTACCTTGTTCCTGTTTGTATGATGTCTTTTTGAGAGGAGAGCTGACAAGCAGACACATTCCAGGTGAGAGTGGTGGAGAGTAATGATCCCTGGGAACATCTCAGTTCATTGTAAAATACACTTTTTATAGAAAAATGGTGGCTGGTGACAGCAATTACGTAAATTGTTATTTGGAACTTGGCCTTTCGTAATTCTTGGTGCCACTGACAATCCACCACTGTGCTAAGCTTTTGCTTATGAAATATTTCTATTTCACTGTTTATATTTCACAGGTATTGCCCATTAAGTATTTTATTGCACTCTTCTTTTACTTACAGTGACTGAAATGGGCGAGCTTTGTGTCTTCCCTTTCCAGTACAATGGTAAAAATTATGACAAGTGCATTGCAGAGGGACAAGAGCGTCCGTGGTGTGCCACAACTGATAACTTTGTAAGAGACCAAAAGTGGGGATTCTGTGTAAATGGTAAGTAAGGGGATCTCCTGCACTGGCTGATGTGTTAAGGTGCACAGTTGTACTGTAGTAATGGAACATCTGGTTACTTGAGATAAAACAACAGCTGCTGAAAAGAAAACCCAGTCAGGATAATTTGTATTGCAGCACTTAAGATAGTATTACATAGAAGCACTAAAAACAGTCACGTGCTCTAAATTAGAGTAAATACAGACGATAAATATAACAGTGTTTGGATAGCATGTATTTATCAATAGCTGGGAGTGTCATTCACATAGAACTGCCCGTTAATTCAGCCTACTGATGAATAACCATGATTGGCCTTACTGGCCTGGGCCAGGAAAAATATAAACCACATGCAGGTTAAACTAAATAGTGTTCTTTATTGTGTAGCTTGTCTTTCAGAAAGGCGTTGCCAAAGTTTGAGAGCAAATGCTCTTACAGTTACTAACCACCTATCACTAGTCCTTTGTGAGTTTTTTCTTTTTTTGAAGAAAAAGAAGAAAATGTGACTGAATTTTAAGATTGGGAATTCTAGATATGCTTGAATATTGACACCCTCCAAAGCAACAAGACTTAGCTTCTTTTAAATATATTTTAAGATGGGAATTTTATAGGAAATATTACTTTGCATTCTGAAACCTCCCTCTTCCTCCTTCCCAAATTCCCCTTTGGGCCTCCTACAGTAATTTTCCCCTCCCCTTTTCTGCTGCTGCCACTGGTCTTCATAAACTCTGCTGGATTTACAGTATATTTCAAATTCCCTTTTATATTTACCCTTGTTTATATTGATAATTCTCTCTTAATTCAAGAGACTTCACAAGCTTGTTGTTGTTTTGGGGTAGAATAAGGGAAATAACACCCCATTCACACTACCTTGTTTCTAAATGAAAAGCAAGATATAAATTTATAAATAAAATTTAGCTTTCTCAATAATTACTAATTTAGACTTCCTTCTTAAACAGATTTATAAGAGTTAGAATAACTTCTGTGTAACTAGGTAGTGAAGCGCTAGTGGTAAAAAAAAATCGATCCTCCCTCTTCCCCAACTAGCCACCTATGTGCTAAAATGCATATTGTAAATTATATGAGGAAGAAGAACAGTTTTGCTTTGTGTGTGAGTGACATTTTTGTAGGCTTATTTGTGAGGGTGATGAGCAATTTCCTTTTCCCCATTTTCATGCTTCTAAAGAGGGCTCTACTGAGCTCAAAAGAAACTTGCTTATTCTGCCCAGTGTGGAAAAGTCCAATTCAGATATCTCTGGAGCAGCTTTTTAGTTGTACATATGTGTGTGCCCTTTGAGGTCCTACTCCTTTTTAATTGGAGTATAATAATTCCAGCTCTGATCACTAACTGAGGATAGCTGATACACCTAGACTTAACACAATTTTCCCCAGATATAACATTGCTGAACCATCGTATCCAGCCTGGACCATATGAACTTTAGAAGGCAAAGATGGACACAGCTAATTTTATTTATTGTTACAACCTTGCTACAGAAGTTAATCTGTGGATTTACAGTTGCTCATAAACTTTTGTTCATATCTTGCAGAAGCTGGACAACGTGAATCTACTATTATTTTCAAGTGTGATGAAAATGCTAATAATGGAAGTCCTCAGCTCTTGAGCGAGACCTTTGGCTGTGCTGTCACATTTGAATGGAGGACACAACTTCTTTGTCCTCCAAGGAAAATGGAATGCAAGTTTATTCAGAAGCACAAGACCTATGATTTGAGAATACTTTCCTCACTCACAGGTTCATGGGTTTTTGCAGACAAGGACAGCTCGTGAGTGTGCTTTGGAATTCTAATGGAAATCTTCTTACCAGTTTGTTACTCATTGGAAGCATAGCTAATAATTATTCCAAGTGTATATCTTGCAATTCAGGCAAGGTTGCCTACGTCTCAGGGAAGTGGCTAAGCCTAGGCAATGTTTAAATCAAGTTTTGTAGTCCTGTGTTTTCAGTCAAGGAACTGACTGAAGGAAGATGTACTTCAAGGGGAAATGAAGGAAGCTTGCCAATTAAAAGAGGCTATATCTTTGCTAGAAATATTTTATCACTCAGCTTGCTCTGTTGAATAGCGTAGGATCATTGGAATACTGCATTTAGATTGAATATCACTCAAGAAATTGCCAGATGGGGAAAAATTCTGGAAAGATCTTTGAAGATTATGGAAGGACTTTTGGAAAAGTCTTTCAGTCAAGCTACCTTACATAAATTGTAGTTAGACAACACACCACAATTATTGTTTTACAAATTACTTCATGTTCTTGGAAATTAAAAGAATGTAAGATGGTCCTTCTTATTGAGGTCCTGTATTGATTACAACTAAATGTGTGTATGTATTAACAGTAAATCTGTAGGAGCAAAATGCAAATTCCTGAGCACCTTTGTTTTTATCTCAAAGAAAAATAGCCTTCAAAGTATATGAATTATGCCTGCTGAAATCTCAAAACCTGAGAAGCTGCCAGATCAATTTTCTAGAATCAAGGATTGCAGATAAACCTACTATAAACTATGCAAAATGAAAATATTTGTGCAAGTTTATTTGAGTTACATAGTTGACACAGATTCAGATTTTCTTGCAGCAGGATCTAAACTTCAGTGTCCAAGAGTATACATGCCCCTGAGAGCCTTTTTGTTTTCCTTTTTCCATTTTAAAAAAATGTTTGGCTGAGAGGTAGAGTATTGATGCTTTAAGTATTTATTAAACTGATATGAGATCTGCTGAAATTACCCTACTGAATGCCTCTTTTTCCTCTTGGATTTAGTTACTACATGAACCTTTGTCAGAGAGTCCATGAAGGACCCACAGGCTGTCCTGACAGGGCAAGTGTTTGCCGAAAAAATCAGAATGGTGCTGTCCAGGTTCTGGGATTAGTTCACACGCAGAAACTTAATGTTACAGGTGTGTCTGTCTGTCTGGTGTCCCCTGCTATTTTGTGAGTTAGGAGGTGAGAACTGCAGTGAAAGAATTTAAGTGGTTTTAGTAAATATTTCAATAAAAGAAGAGAATGCATTTGCTGAACTTGGCCATTAGCCTTGTTTTTGTTAAGGTATTATTTGCCTTGCACTGTTTTGTACTGCCTTTTCAAACAAATCTGAGTGGTGTACAATAAAATCATGATAAAACACAGCAACTACAAAGTTGCTCCTCACCATATAACCCTCATTAAAATATAACTAAAATGTAACTAAAAACATAATTGTCAACCTTGTGAGGTAGACCAGACAGGAAACTCAGTCAGATGAGCTAATTCTACTATATTGTAAGGTTATATTAACAGAATCTTGGAAGTCTGAAAGTACATTTTTCCCCTGACCCTTTACAGCCCAAGAAACTAGGAAGAGTCTCTTCTGAGCTACTTACCGCACCCACATTCCTGCTGCGGGCTCAGTTGCCTTTTATCTGACCATTCCCTTGGCGGTGTCTTTTCTCCTTGTCTCCCAAGGTCATTCCCATACCATTACATAATTGGACAAGTCTCCCAGTGTTCATTTGCTAGGAGCCAAATGCTCTTTGAAAAGATAAGGTTTTCAGTGCCATCTAGGATACCAGAAATGAAGGAACTGAGTGCACCTTTGTGGAACAGAATGTTTCACCAAGTGAAGGGAACCATAGAGAAGGTCTGCTTTCTAGTCTGTGTCCATGTCCTTTGCAGGGAAGGCAGCTTAAGCAGATACTCTGTAGATATCTGTAGAGGATGAGCAGTACTGGGTAAGGGGGTCCCTAATGTAACCTGGTGCCACTCCTTAAATAGTTTTACGGTGATAACCAACACTTAGAATTAGGCCTGGAAGCCTACTAGCAACAACTGCAAACTATGTGTTGATCTGCAACAGTGGGTTCCACCCTGAGTTATGCTTAGTTTTAGTTTTGTTCTCTAATTTCATTAGGGTTACATAAACAGGGATGCATGAAAAAAATCCTAATGCTAATACTTAATATCCATTACTTCAATGCAATTCCACTTGAATAAAGTAATGGTCTACTAGAAAGAGCTCCGTAGATGTGGATTTTGCTCCTGTCTCAATATAAAGGACCCTCCTGGTGCTCAGCGCTTGTATGGCTCAGCGGTTCATCAAAATTCAAACAGTTGCTGGAGAAAAGTATGTTTACTTTTGTGAAAGTATTAATATCAGTCTATGAAATCTAAGTATGGAAATGTACTAAATATATCCATATGTCCCAGCAGTAAAATATTGGCCTTTGAAGATGTATCCAGTCATTTTTGATGGAGGAAATGTTAACTAATGCCAAGTCATAAAGAATTTTAATAGAAAAAATTCTATTAAAGAGGCTAGTTAAATTCATTTGGGGGCTTCATAGCATTGCTTTGGATTTAGAAGTCTCATTTTGCTATTAATTTACAAGACCTGATGCTTTATTTCAGGCGACAAAGTTCTTGTCAGCTACTCCAATGGTCATGAATGTCCACAGAGGAACAAAAAGGCAACAACAGTCATAGAGTTGAAATGTGGAAAAACTGTTGGATTGCCAAGATTCAATAGGTAAATATGTAGATTATTTGGTCTTTATGGCATAACAAAAGTCACCTCAACTTTTATCAGAACTAAAGGTATATATTATGCATATGGCATAATTCATACTTTAGGGAAACTTTATCGAAGCTAGTGCATTCTGTATATTTCAATAATTCCTAACCAACCGCAATATGGCCATACAAATAAAGTCAGTAGAATGAATGAATGAATGAATGAATGAATGAATGAATGAATGAATGAATGAATGTTGAGAAAGGTGATCATGTGGGATGGAGGAGTAAGCTACACTAAGAATTATTATCTTTGTCTGTGGGTATGATACGTGCTGGTGACCAATAGCTTCTGTGGCAATCACAAAAATAAATAATTTTTATGCTAACAGTACCAATAAAAATGGAATATATTTTGAATATAAAGGATTTAGAAGGAGGAGATGTATAAAGTGTTTAATTTTTTATTTGATTGCTAGTTTATTTTTTATTTATAGCCCAGTTTTGTATGAATCAAAGCAAAATTTAATAAAGTCACTCCATAACAAGGCATAGGAAGCTGATAGGTTACATTACATCTGATTCCCACTTTTGCAGCCTCTCAGTCTCCCAGGATTGTTCTACCAAAAATCAGAGATCCAGTGCCCCATCTGTTTGGGGGTGGAAAGGAAAAGAAGTAAGATTTTATTAAGTCTTCTTATAGGCTATGCATGCAAGAGATTGCAAAAACCATAAAACCAGAAATATCAAGTAACATGAGGTGGAGTGGGTGGCAAAAAAACTTGCCCACTTGCCAGAAATAATATTTTAAAAATTCTCCTTTCGTCACGAAGATATTTCCCATCTCTGTACTTACAGATCAGTAACAAATGCTAATTTTATATTGTTAGCTCTTGAAACTTTTATAGATACGTGTATGTTTTTTACTTGATACAGGTTTCTCTCTTAGAAGCATGTAACTTGTCTGTCAGAATTGCTTTTTTGAACAGAGACATGTATGTTACTTCTTCCCTATTAAATAAAAACCACCACAGCCCTTTTTTTTTTTTTTTATCATAGAGGAAGCTACAGTTGAAAAGAACCTTAGAATCCTAGTGCCTTCCACTGGTGCAAAAAGTTTTTTTTTAAATACTCTTACTAAAAACCCCACAACAATAATACAATTCTATTTTTTTCAAAAGCAACAATTTACAAAACGTTTTAGTTTATTTTTGGTCCTAATTCTTCCATTTTTAGAGTGTGAATAATAATCAGCTGCAGACTTTGAGCTGATTGATGTAGCATATGTACGGGTGCACAAACACACATACACATCCTCCTTACACAATAATTTAATTCTGTGTTCTCACACACTATTCTGCTTAGATGGTGATGAGGCAGTGCGGAAGAAATGAGAGAAAAGATGTGTTGTGTTTTTCCCCCCTTTTTGTTGACAGCATGCATATTTTAAGGTCAAATTCTCGAAAGGTTTACACTGGATTACTAAATAAAACCAATTTCTTCTAAATGGGTGATTTATAAACCTTATAGAGACGTTTCAAACTAATTCTTTAAAAACTGAAACTCACTACATAATTGCATCTGATTTACACAGCAGAAACAGGTTTTTTTTGTTCAAACAGTTTATTGAATAAACGCAATTGGCTAGGTTCACAGAGCGCACTATGAACTAGAATGACCAGAATGGGATCCCAGAATACAGGTCATAATGTGTGTTTGATTTAAGCCTAGTGAAATGTGCAAATCCAACCTTCACATCCACACAGTAGTAAAGATAAATGATAACTTTCATTTCTCTGTCATTTAGTCTTTATTGTCATGCTATTTCTCCTTCTGCTGGTAAGTGTTAACTTCCCAAATGCTTCCTCTTAGGATTGATGAAGAAAATTGTGCCTATTACATTACCTGGGAAACTCGGGCTGCTTGTGCTGTGAAACCTCAAGAAGTTAAGATAGAGAATGGCACAGTTATAAATCCAGAGACAGGGAAGAATTTCAGTTTGGGTAATATTTATTACAAGTAAGTGATTTTTTTCATACTTATAAAAGATCAGGAGAAGACTCCTAATAATCAGCCTTGTAGTTGCCACTGGCTTATTGATAAAGTGGTAGATGATCTGAAACTGAGCAAAATGTAAAGTTTCAAGTAACAACCATCAATCTGGATCTGTCTTTTTTTTTTTTTTAAGTTATGCAGTAACTTTTAAATCTGGATGGAGGAGCTAACATCTTTAAAAGAAGGGTCATTTAAGAACTAAAGATTGGTAGATGGTGTGTTGCTTAATACAGTTCTTAAGGAATTAACTAATTTTGCCTGTGTCTGTTGGCTTGTCCATGTAAGTTAAATAGATGATTCTGCTCTTATATAGTTAAGCTCTGATTTGTGTGTGTATATTGAAAAAGAAACTCCATTTTCTTGCAGAGGCAGATACATCTTAATTTCTTGGATTTTTTTTAAAAAGGTGCTCTTAGTGCAATATAAATCCATAGCCCAACTTCTGAAATAAATTCTGCTTCTGCAGGCACAGTAGCAAAGTGTGTATATGTGGTAGATTCTTTGATCTTTAGGAAAGTACTTACTGTAGATATATTATAAAGATATGATAAATATATTATTTTTAAATAATATATCCCCATCATTAAAAGTAAAAAATAGCTCTAGAATAAAGGATATTTAGGCAAGATATAATTTCTTCAAGCCAACTGTGTATTCTTGTGCATTGTACCTGGTATGTAAATGGTTTTGATAAATAATAGTGAAGATGGGTATAGCATTAAGCAGCCAAGATGAGACTGATTTTCCAGTATGCCTCTTTGAGGAATTGTAGATTAGTTGGAAACAGGTGAGGATAGTCCCTTGCTAAATGGAACAAGACTTGAAATTTAGGTGGATTAAAACAGACTCCCTTGAGTAGAGAATTCTAATAATTAGCTAGGTGAGAAGAGGTGCTTCCAAAGTTTTTTGTCTTAGCACTGGTTATATCTGTATCATTACTTTGTATATGCATATTATGTATTTTTATGTATTTTTATTTTAAATCTTTTGTTTCAGATTATACAGCGCCTCAGGAGATATCAGAACAAATGGTGACACATACATTTATGAGATTCAGCTTTCTGCTATCACTGATTCAAAGCATACAGAATGCATGGGAGCGAACATATGTCAAGTTAAAATGTCAGATACACGTTTTCGTAGAATTGGATCATCAAAAAATGCTCACTACTATATTCAAGGTCAGTATCAACTTGCTTGTAATGATAACAACCAGGATTATGTGCAAAATAGAAATCCAAAACAAACAGATTGCCTTGGAAGTTCTACTGAACTATTTCAAATGGGGAAGAGTTCACTAAAAACAAAATCTAGAATGTTTTGTGTGTTCTTGGTTTCTACTGAAACAAAATCCAGAGTGATTTTACTGGATGAGTAGGGTAAGTCTGCTGTGTTGTGTCTCTCCACCACCACTCCGCCCCCACTTCTGCTAATGTACCAGTACAGTACATTACAGTACATCCTCAATCTTCCCAGTGTCTTTCCTTCTTATCCTTGTTTGCCTCCCTTCAATTATAGCAAAAAAGACTAAACTCAGTTATCCAAACACAACCCAGGGCAGGGGCTCCCAACCTATATGAGATCCCCCCCCCCGGGGCTTTCTTAAAAAGTCAAGTTTTTATGGCTGTCCTAAAGCTCAACAGAGTGGGTGCTAGTCTGATTTTGGGAGAAGTTTTTCTATTCTTACCTCCCCCCCCCAAACACTTCTATTCAGAGGAACATGTTTCACTCTGTATCCTGAAGGAAATAATCACATGTTTTTAAAAATAAATGTTATTAAAAGTTTTACAAAGAACATAAAAACTAACACAAACTGATAGAGTAAAAAAAGCAAAGAAAGAAAAGGAGAAGAAAGAAAAAGTGCAGAAAGAGAGAACAAAAAGAAAAAAAGAAGAACCTTCCAGTTTCTTTTGCAGTAAATAAAAGTATGATTAGAAAGTTACTTCTACTCTATGGTTACAAAAAGAAAAGCTCATTTTTCC